TCATACATATTCACAATTTTGTCTATCTCATTCTTATCTGAATGCTTAACCAAATGGTCCGTGAATCAGAAGTACTTACGAAAGACCAATTTTAAGACCAGTTTTATCGCTTGCTTTCTTGCTTCTGAAGAATTTGTCTTGTTTCTGGTTCTGGTTGGTATATTCGTCAGTCAACTTTTGCGTGCTGAAATTGGCGCCGTTATAACTCACCTCATCTTAATTTTTATAATGTTTATTAAAATCACCTGTAACAAAAGTGGTCTGATTAATACCAGCCATAGTTTTGTTGTTAAAGATGATCGAAATTATTATTATTATGACTGACTTTGACTAACTTTGAATACAACATTTGCTTGAAATTTTGACACAAATTCGGAACACAACCTCTCATTATAATTGGACACAACCTCTCACTAGTTGCGAGTTAGTGCGAATACCCATCTCGAGATTTCGAATTGTTACATTAATAATCTCTAACAGGTTATTCCTTTACTGTACGTTATTCGTTATCCATTCCTGATCAGGTAACAGATTCTTTTTTTTATTTGTTTATATTACAACTACTATAGATATCTAATACTTTTAACAAAAGAAAATTTGGAAGTTTGAGCTATCTTAAATCACCATTTAAGATAACATGTTAGTGATAATGCTACATTTCATACAAATTTCAATACATTTCATAAATAAATAAATAAATTCATAAATAATAATAATAATAAATTACTAAACATAAATAATTTTCTTTTTCTTTTTTGTGAAGTGAAGAATTCAAGTTAATTTAATACTTAATTCTTAAGTAGGTTGGAAGTGTACGTTTTAGGCGTTTTTTGTACCCTAGTTTCAGGGTTCTAGGGTGTTCTCATTTCCAAATTTTTGTGCTGTAGCACTGCTACAGTTGCATATAGAGATATTCAGGTGTTTGTGAATATCGTCATTTTTAATGTACCATCTAGTATCTACTATCGTTCGCAGAATTTTTGATTGCAGCCTTTGGATAGTATTTATATTAGTCTTGCAGGTGATTCCCCATATTTCAATTCTATATTTCCAAATCGGAACAATAACAGTTTTGTAAATTAGTAGTTTGTTGTCAATCGCCAGACTGGAATTTTTACCAAGAAGCCAATATAGATCTGTAAATCTTCGATGCACTTCGTTTTTCTTCTGTATTATGTAATTTTTCCAAGTCAGCTTTTGGAATAATAGCATGCCCAGGTATTTGGCTTTCATGCAGATTGATATATCAATGTTCACGATTTTCAGTTTCTGTTATTCAAATTTCATATTGGTGAAAATAGTTTTGTCAGTTTTTTCGACACCAGCTTCTATTTTTATTATGCAGGATGTGTCGTTTTGATATTGCACAATGAAAACTCTATTTTTAAGGTAACTCTTCAGTAGTAAATAAAAATCGGCAGGCAATATTCTTAATAGTTTGTAAAGCAATTCTTCATGCCAGACACAGTCCAATGCTTTGGCTACTTCTACAAACATACCCACAGCGATCTATTTTGTGTCTATATTCATTGCAATTTTGTTAGCCATCTGATGAACTTGCTGAATTGTAGAATGCTTTCTACGAAATCCAAATTGATGACTTGGCAATAGGTTGTTTCCTTTTATTATTGATTCCAGTCGGGAGAATAGAAGATTTTCGAATAGTTTAAATAAGATGGGTAATAAGATGATCGGTCTATAAGAGTTGACAATTGAAGCATTTTTGTTTGGTTAGTTGTTACTACAACTTTCACTACTTTCCAAACAGAAGGAAAGATTTTTTTGCTAATCATGCAGTATTGGTTTTTTATTTATGTTACTTTTTCAAGTCAAGCATTTCATTACAGCGTCCACCAACAATAATGTATGTACATGAAACGTTACCTAGTAATTGTTATTATTACTCTAGGTTAGAGTGAAAAATAATATCCATATATCTGAAATCCACTAAAGCTAATAAAACTACTAAATGCCTTCCTTTATAGTTATAATAATCAACTTTAATCAAATTTCGCAGATACAAATGGTGTTTGTAGCATGAAATTTTTAACATTCGATTTGTAAACAAAAAACACATGATTTCAATAATTTGAGGCAGTGTGAACACTTTCGAAATTAGCTTAATTTCATTTTCACGAAATTAGGGAAATTTGACTGCCTGAATATAGTTTAACTTAGTAGCCAAATTTTTTTGGTTTAAATTGATATTTTCGTTTTTTGTATTTAAAACATTTATTTTTTAAAAGCATTTGGAAAATAAAAAGAATAAAAAGAAGAATATATTTTGCGACAAGCTTATCCACATAATTATATTTCAAAATTTACAATATACAAGTATTACAAGGGGTGAGTAAAAAGAAAACGCTTTTTATTCATTTAAGTCAATAAAAAAAACTGAAATTTCAACTTATTCACAAAAAATATATAAAATTATACATAATATAATCGGCGTCTACACTAGACAGAATTCAGCAAAATTTTTATAATGTGGACGAAAATTTGTATGTGCTAAAAGTGAGACAATATGCAGAAATCTTGCCATAGTCTAGCTAGTGTAGATACAGAGATTAGACACAATTTCTTGTTTATACTTGAATATAAGTATTTAATTGCGCAGTTTTATGTTGCAATGTGGGAATCACCGAAATATAATAATAAAACAATGTAAAACGTGTTAGGTTATAATTATACGAGGGGTCTTAATTTTTGCTTGTTTTTTATTCTTTATTGTACTACACCAGGTGCGGCTTCAATCTCTTAGGCACGTTGATTTATTAACGATTCTTTTCGTTAATCGAAAAAAGTTTTTCTTCTACCCTAACATATATGGCGACATAGGTTAATTCTCAACACGTCGAAGCTAAAATTTGTAAATTTTCAGTATTTAATAATAGTGTAATAAGAAAAATCACACATGCCCTCAAGTGTCAGCTAGCAAACACAATTCTCACATTGATAATACAAACTACGAGTCCTTGCTATTAGTCGTTTTCATGTAAAAATGTCAAGCTTTGAAATCAGATAACCCGAAAGTTATATTGACAAACTGCCTAGTAGAAAAAGTTGCTTAAATTAGCTGGCTTTGCGAGAATATGTTGTCAAGTAAGGATACCCGGAAAATCGAAAACGAGTTCTATATTATAATAGTATTGTATAGTAATAATTCAACAATACTATGTATATTATTATTCTACACTATGTTGTTATATACTGCATATAAAACTATCTAGTGCAGCAAAAATTCTAAGCTATATTGTATTATACCTAGAACAAGACTATCTAGTGCAGCAAAACGGGACTGGTGCAACTTCATATGCATATGTTAAACAATTACTTACTGAAATGTGGAGCTTAGATTGATTTTATTTCCTTCTCTGAAGTGCTTGCAACTATATAAAACACTTTTCCTACAATCATTCTCTGGAACTACTATATTTTTCAACAAAAATGCACACAGTTTTTTATTATTATGAAATAATCATAAGGATATGTATTCTATATAATATAGCAATTTTTTTGGAGTGATCTATTATTATGGTTTTTAATTATAATAATGGTGTATGTTTATTGGAGTTATTATCTTTCATCGGCACAACCTACTACATTCCATTCAGTTAACAATTTTAAGAGACTTCAAAAATACTAGCAAAGTAGTAATAGATTAGCATGATATTATTATATTGAATTTAATTTCAGTTATGGCGGTAGTGACTAATTTACTTAATAGAAACTATTTTGTTTCTGAAACTAATGAAAAATAACTAATTATTCGTTATACAGTCAAACTTCCATAACTCGGACTTCTATAACTCGAATTTTCTATAACTCGAACTAAATAGAGTACATCAAGACTTAGAGCGCAATTTACATACAATTTTAAAAAGTCTCCATAAGTCGAATCTTTCTTTGTAAAATGCTACTTCGAGTTATGGAAGTTTGACTGTATTATTATTATTAAATGATAGACTATGGCCCAACTAAAACAGTTCTAGACTATTTATAATTGCTGATTGCTGTGGGCTTAATTTTACCTATTTGATTTGGGACAAAGATCCAATTTTCAAGGTAGTTTAGTCTACACCTTGCCGCGGCTGTGCAGTTGCATAGAATATGTTTTCCTCATGACCGAGTAGACAGGACTCGCTTTCTACCGTACCTATAATCTTCATGTGGTAATTAAGTCTACAGTGTTCTACAGAAGTTCAGAGTAGATTTCAATATCGTTTCTGATAAGGCCAAGGATTACTTTGATGTCTTCAGCATCAATGCATCTTCTTGACTGTCGCATGCCTGTTTGGGTTCTCCAGTGTTCAAGTAGATCGTGTTTCACCCGTTCACATAATAAGTTATTTATGAAGCTATTTGTCACCCCGCAGAAAGGTTCTGGATCAATAAAAGGAGTACATGTAAAGTTTGACTGTATTTAATTATTCGTAAATAATTTTTTAGAGCTACAAGTGCTCAGGGATAAAATCGTATCCCACTAAATTTGAGTCTCAAAAACTTATTTACGAATGATTGTTGGGTAATGGGTAACGGGTATTTGGCAGCACTCGAAACAGCTGTAAGGTCACCCAAAAATTCAATTAATTAAAATATAAAAAAAAATTTTGTTATAGTTCACTACTGTTCAAAACTTCTCTAGTAAGTTAATTGTAATAGTGTAAACGTCTGTTAATTAGTAAAAATGTCCATATGTACAACTTAAGCAACTGAAGAAAGTTTTCATTGGTGTTATTAAGGATGTTGGATTCATAGTTATGTGTATAATATTTTACAAAATTTTAATTAAGATAATGGCTTTAATGAAAAGTAATGAATTATTGTATTTACGATACTTTTAATATTGTAGAAATAATAGGAGCCATTGACATTTGTAAAATATATATAATTTCGAAAGTAAATATTTTTTTGTTCGTTCAATTATTTTGAGCAAATCTGTTTACATGAAATTTTTTAAAAAATTTTAGTTTTCTAAAATTAATAAATTCTTTTAATATTTTTGGTTAGACTCCAAAATTAATAATTTATTTTTTATATGAGGTAAAAACGCTTTTGACTTTTTGTTTTCAAGAACTGTTTGAATTTTTGCGGCTACGGATTTGTAAATTTTGGATTATACTAACTTCTTAAATTCGCGTAAGTTATATTTACTTATTATGGAATCTTTTTTTTGTGCCAGGTCAAATATTCGTTTGGGCAAATAACAAGTATCTTTTCCTCCTAAGTTCTGAAACCTTTTTTATATAGATGTAACGTATACATAAACATATATATCTAGTTATATATAATACAATAGTATGTTTATGCTAAAATACATAAAAAGCTCTGTGTATTACAATTATTATTTAGGACTGTAAATGTTGGGATTATTTAGAATTAATTAATTTGTGCCTAAACTAAAGTTGAGACAAATGAGATAAATTATTTGATAAACGAATCTAGCTTTAATGAGATATTTGAAAAATATTCACATTTCGATTTATTGTAATAAATTAATATTTGCTTGAACGTTTAATTAGTTATACGTACGTTAAATATATAAATTAACTTAAGTGTAATAGAGATTTGGTCCAAAAGACTTTACCGTCCTGAATCGAAAGGTGACTGAATTACGCCTCTCAGCATATTCGTATAATCGTGCTTCGTCCCAGTGTTGGCAACAGCGCATTGATGAGTTCAGTGACGTAGCCAAGATTATGTTAAGAGCCAGAATATATGTACAATAAAAAATGATTGGGCAGTGTGTTATCTGTGGATAATATTGTAAATAAGGAGTTTAGTTCCATTACATTCTTACACTGACTTCATCACTGTTTCCATTAAAAGTTCTCATAAACTAACAATAGTTGTTAATTTTACATCAGAAATCAATTCTTATTTCAGGGTCAAAATATTATAAGAACTTGTGAAAAGTAATTTTTCAGTAATGGACGCTAGCTCACATCCCAGTCTTACTTATTTAAAATCGCACTTTGAGCTAGAAGATAGCATTTTAGATCAAATACTTTTATTGGAAGATGAGTACAAGAACCACTATGAACTCCATACCAAAGAACTGAAAAAACAGGAATTTTGGGTTAATCGGATGGTGATATTAACGGAACGCTTACATAAAGTTGAAAAGTAGATATTGATATTTTTTTAAATTTCTTGTGAAAACAATGAGTTAATAATAGAGTATCGTTCTTAACAGCTCAGATATTTATTGCGAATACCTAAGCCATGAGTTTGCGAATTTACCAAATGAGCTTATACGGGAATATGGCATCAAGCTAGGAAACTTACGAAGCTCAATGTAATTTTTTTATTATTATATTCTCTAAATATACTTTTGGAATATATTTATATTTTTATGTATGTCTTTATTATAATTTTAATTGTAGTTGTCGTTTAATGGTTTCCATCCACAATTTGAAAAAGACATGTCTTAAATTCGAGGAACTATGTTCACGTTTAGACATGTCTGTTCAGAGTCCATTGATAACTGGTGATGAATTTCATAAGCCGTTAGGATATTTCATGGAATTCTTGCCAAATTTGTTCAAGTATTTCCATGCAAGAACTTTGAAGTTGAAATGTTGCGCCCATCTGCTCGATCCAGAAGAATTTGAATGTTTGGGAAACTATATGGAATTGGTGAAGAGGAACGATGATTTTGAACATTACTTCAGAAAGGGAATGGTCTATTGTAATTGCTTCAGTCGTGAGAAATTACAATGTAAGTGAATATGGACGAGAGCAATTTTCAAGAGCTGCCTACTGTCGATACTAAGTATAAATCAGATACCAAAATCAAAAAAAAAATGTGAATTTATTTTTATAATGTTATTTTTATTTCTGCGTTGAAATAAATATATGCTGAAATTGATTAAATAGTAGTTTAATCTTTAATTGTGTGAATTGCTCAAGCTTTTTTGAAACTATTTTCGACCGGCTCGTGTATGCTTGACTATGGCTCAAAAAATATAAATACTCGAATATTTTGGAGCTGTCCAACATATTCGACATATTATTTGTAAAATAAACATAATATATTTACAACTTTAAGCTTGATATTCCTAAAATCAGGCTATATCGGCATAGCAAGTAGTGGAGAAAGCTGTTTAGAATGAAATTCATGGTGAAATCACGATGACTAGGAAATTTTAAAACGTATCTAAAATTTCTTTTTTTTATATATATGCCATCTTCCCTCTCAAAAAGTAGAATAAGATCTGTGATAAAATTCTAAATATAAGGAAAATAAATTGTTAGCTAGTTCTCGTAATATTGTCATATATTTCTCACTTCAGTCACTTACTGAAATCGGCATTTCACTTATTTTTTTTTAGCATATCCAGATATTAACTTTAAAACCATAATGCACACTATACATTAAGATAAAAAAGAAATCATTAATAAATAAGTTTGTGGTAGCATTTATCATTATGGCATTAAAGTCATATCGCAGAGATATTTTAAATTAATAATAAAATTTATTACCATAAAAAGCACTGGAGTGGCTTTGGCATATGGGGAAAGCAATTTTACGCCTATTTTCAATTTCATTTCAAGCCTCAACACATATTTTTTATTGTTGTGTTTGCGTAAAAATTTACCCTTTTTAAAAGACTCATTAATAATTTTTTGATAAAAATTATAAAATAAGCGTTCATGAAGTTTGGTCGCCAGCATTCAAAGCAAAAAAAATTCAATAATTATTTTCATAATTGAAACTATTGGGGGTCCCATTAATTATATATACGAGTACTCGTGTACTATCAGAAGGAGGCATAAAATTCATTAACTCAAGTGTTGCTATTTTATGCACTCAAATTGTGTAAATTGAGTGGTTCTGTGGTTATGTGCTTGGATGTGGTCATTCCAAATGAAATATATGCACTTACCATCGCTTGTACGTGAGTACGAATTCAGGGAAAAATTGATATATGTAAACAAAATTCTACTATATTACATCAATTAGGTTTCTGAAGTAAATAAATTTGCACTTTAGGCCATGTGGCACATACCAACTGCCAATTGAATGATTATAAAAATATTTGTTGAAGTACGCGGGTAAAAATTATAATTTTTTAAAATATATGTATTTTTGGTACATGTTTTTAAAATCAGTGTCAATAATAACAATATTTGCTTAGCAACACAACTTGGACATTCTATATCCTTATATCCGAATCCTTCCCTCATATCGCAATGTTTATTCGCATCTACGCATTGGGTATTATTGATGAAACAAAGTATATCTGCAAGTAATTTCTTTACTTAGTATTTACTCCATTTTGACAAACTCCGACAAACAGTTCATTTTCTTAAAGTAATGCGATGTGCAATGAGTAACCATTAAAACAGAAAAAAACAAACCATATTCATTAAGACGTATTGATTATGTATGGAGGCTGTCCACCCCAAGAACAACTGAAACTTGCAATCCTAAGGACAAAATTGTGCACTTGGATAGTTTATTATTTAGCGGGTACATTACGACAAATAACATCCTCAGGGACCTCAAGATTGATCTGATCAAAAAATACGTAAAGGACAGAGCCCTTGATTTATTTTCGAAAACTGACTGGCTTACCAACACCGCGCTATCGAATCTGAGAATAGTTACACGCTACTTGGGAAGGTATGCGTATCTGAGGTCAGTTATTGCTTAGTCTGATGAAATGATAAATAATAATCTAGTCAAGGCGCAGAGAGCGGTTATAAAGAAACCTGCGAACTGCGAAGTTAATAGAGAGTGAAAGTGCTCAAACACACTGACTCAACTAGCCTCAACATAATAATAATAAACCAACCATTGTTTGTCACGTAGATAATGTGAAAAAGCTTGGATCACTCAGATCACTTTCGAAACAAACTGATTTTTAGTTTAAAAATAAACTAGTCTGATCACATAAAAATCAATTTTAAATCCAAAATATTTTAATCATTCAAAGTATTTGTTTTACTAACCAAAAACTGTTAGTTGCTGAAAGACAGGCTTTCCGAAAACTCTTCAAAGTGCCATTGCACATCCGCACAAATGACATGCTAAGAGACCTGAGAATATACCCGGTCAAAAAATACATAAAAGACAGAGCCCTGAAACTATTCGCGAAAACGACAAGTTGCTCTAATTAGCACTATCTAATCTCAGAATAATCACTAACAATACGGGGTGGTACGCAGATCTTAGATCAGTCATTGAATAATCACGAAGCTTATAAGGAACACACAAATTAGTCAATGAGATAGGTGGGACTCTGCAGAAACTCCTCAGCTATAAAAAAGTAAAAGTGCCCAGATGCACTAACTCGAAAAACCACTTAACATGAGCACGAATATGAACTAAATGTAAATACATAAATAGAGAGATAATGTAGGTATAAATAAAAATTTGGGTTATGACTAAAATTTGAATATAAAAGTGGTATATAATTGCAATCCAATGAAATCGTTCCAAATCGTCTTAAATAAAAAACGCATGGGATTGCAATTAACATCAAGTGATCATCAAAACGTCAACGAAATCAAAGATTTAGTACTCAAAAATAGGCGGTTTTTTCTGTAGGATCAGTGCAAACCAATGTATGTTTTGGTCCCGAAAGAAAAGGAATTTTAGTTGGTGTCAAAAAGCACTTAATTTTTTTTAAAACAGTGTAGCGTTAAAGTTTGTCCAACAACGATTTTTGTCGGTCAGGATAAGATGAAATGCAAGATAATTAGAAATTAGATTTGGATCTATGGATACCACTTGCAATCACACAACCAATCAAGGAATCACACAACAAAAGAGTTTTTTTTTTAGTTATTGTCGTATGGTGCATAATGAATTCCATTCACCGGTTCAAACAGTTACTAAAAAATATTAATTAGTGGTATACAGCATTTATGTTACGCTATTCACAAAAAGAGACGAAAATTATGGGTTTTTGTACCACAATAATGCACCATTTCACACCGTATTGATTCTTTGAGACCAATTTATTAAAACTTCAACCCATCACTCCTCAATATATGTATTCGCCTTGAGTGACTTACGATGTTATTTCACCGTATGCATCCTGTGATTTCTGACTAGTCTCTAAACACAAGGGACTACTCCGGAAGCTCCATTTTTATGCAATTAGGAGAATGAAAACCGATTTGATGTGGACTTTGAAGGTAATTCAAGAAATCAACTTTAACAAATTGTGTTCGTTACTTATAAAAATCTTGATATAAGTATATGATATCAGAAAGAATGTACTTTGAAGGCAATTCATAGATTTAGGTGATTAACATAAGACTCTATACAAACAAAAAGTGTTCCACAAAATTTGGACATTCCAGAAGTATTCGTTGCCCGGTAGGAAAAATCGCCACATGAAAATTTTTCAAATTCTTTGTATAGAAGCTAATCGAAAACTAATCGTACGATATGCGTTAAACTTTGACAGAATGTGTATAATAGTGTTGCCAGCGTGAAAATAAAAAAAATTGACGATTAAATAAGCGCGGGAATTCAAAAATAGGCCTCTCCTTCTTTTTTGATCAGAAGGTATGTTATAAAAATTATATCTAAATATTATAATAATAGTACTGCAGTTTTTTGGAAAATATAGACACTTTTATATTCTACTTCAACCTTTGTTTAATTTTATGAAAACACTTTATTTGAGACGTTCAAGTTGTAAGGATGTCACAAATCAACTTAAAACTATTTGTCTTTAAATTGTAATTTTTTTCAATGATATTATATATCACCTTTCACCATTCTTCTTCCGCATTTCAGTCATAGGACATGACCATTGTCATGGACAACTACCTGCAATGTATTTCCTGCTGACTTCTTCCTTTTCGTTCATGATTCTTGTAACGTTGCAGTTCTTCATATAAGATTGAACAATTGTCAATATCCGTTTTTTTATTTGGCTTTGACCTAACATATCTGTTATCTTCAAGAGCTCAACTGTTTAATTGCGCTGGACAACTGGAATTCTTACGCAGTTGGTCACTCGAATGTGTCCAGTGGTGCTTTGTAATGCTTTCATTATTAATGAATCAGAACTCGTAGTTTACTTTTGGCACACTAAATTGCTAGTTCGGTTACTTGAATGGATGTTAAATATTATAGCAAGATTATAAGAGTTATATATCTCAATGATGCATAAATGCATAAATGATCATACATTTTTCATATTTTGATAAAACTAAAATATTTTATTTTTATGGCGTTCCAAAGAAATGAATTCAAATGAATAAATAAATAAAATTAAGTTTAACATTATCCACTTTAACATTATAACCCTATATTGGTTTTCCCAAAAAAAAAACCATTGACGTATATACTTGTTTCTGCGGCCCTCCAATCTGCACAGTGATTTGTATTGGCCCGGGATCGTTTTTAATATATGCGTTTTTAATATATAATTTACTTGGAGTTTTTTTTCAGCAAGTTAATGTTATAATAAGTTATTATTGGATAATTATTGATATTAAAAATATTTTGTTTCAGTCTGTCAATAAAAATTGTGTTTCTTCTCAAGTTTTGTTGTGTTTAGATATATATGATTATTTTCTATAAAACTTGAAGACTTATTGAATGTCTGAATTAACATACATATGTAGAAATCACTTATATTTATTAAGTGGTCATTTTACTAAAGGGGTTATATTTCGAAAGCACTCAAAAATATCAAGAAATAATTTTTTTCATATACTTTTAAAAATTTTGATATAGTGAGCTTTGAAAATTTAAAAAAATCAATATCCCAAACATATTTCTATTGTATTTTATATTTATTTTTTGTTTTCAACATAATGTTTCAAAATTGATAGTATATAAGTACAAAATTGTGAAAGTTACTTAAAATATATACACCACGAG